ATAAAGAATGTGTAATGACTTCATCTTTTTGAATGTTGTCTTCAACATTTGAAAAAGCTTGAAAATAATTGTTTTACCAATTTCTTCATGCTAATTCAAAATTTACTCCAAATCATGTTCATTCTAATTATCTTTGTTTTGTTTTTTCAGAAGAATGAGAATTAAAAAGAGTGGAAGAACACGAGCTGCATAAAATATAACACATGAAAAGAAATCTATTTAGTATATTAAGAGGTAGAAGATGAATATTTAAGATGACTACAATTTTAATCGAACACCATTGGTAATGTTTAACCATGAAACAAAGTTTTTATAATTAGTTTGATAGTTAGAAAATTAGAGGATATTTCATCCGCGTCTTACGCGGGGAATCACCTAATAATAAAAATAAAAATAAAAGTAAGAGAGAAACTTATTTGAAAAACTTTGCTAACTTGTTGAGAGACTCATCCACCAAATGTAATTGCATGATCGGTTTAATTTCTTTTATAACTTAAATTTAATTGTAGAAAATAAACCGTGCTAAAAATATAATTTAATAATAGATGAGATACTTATAAGAGTATCTTAGGGATGGACATGCTCGCATCCTATAGACCTTTGAGGATAATTCAGATTAAACTGAACAAGAAACTATTGTACTTGAATAGCATTTGATTACAACGGAGAAATCAGAAAAGGAAAAAAAACGAAACACTGAATTTCCCAGATACTCAATCTAGGCGAATTACCCAACATGTTACAAGAATCCTTTTTGAACATACCATCTTAAATTAAACCCAATAAAAGAGGGATAAACTGGAGAACCGAAAAATCATCCAATAAATAGGGCTAGTAACAAATTTACTCTCGGTTTGAGAAATCTTATCCTCATTTCTCCCATGGCGACTCTACTTGATAGGTTGGATGAGTTTCTCGGCTTCTATGGAGCTTTCATTAATGACCTCGGAATTGCGTCTCTTCTTTGTCTAGCAGCTGCAACTATAGCCTCCGGAGTTTACTCTCTCTCTCTCGCACACCGAAATCCCCAACGTCATCGACAATCTATACCTAATCCAACCTCGCTTACCTCTTCTCCGTCGCTCTATACATCAAATACTGTCGAGGCAACGAGCCACAATCTCCGGCGCCGATCCAGTATCCCACCGGCCGGAGCTTCCTTACGTCGCCGCCTCTTTGGTTTTCTTCTTCACGTGTTTTGAGCCTCTCAGATCTGTTCGCAGTCTCTACGTTCTGGTGATTTGCGTATCTGCTTATCTTCGCGTCCTCATTCTTCTTGCGATTCTGAGGCTGAGAGAAGACCATGGAATTTCCAAAGGATATTTATTCGCGGTCCTTCGCTTTGTGGTTCCAATAGCTGAGACAAACTTGCAACGAATCCTTGTCGTTTTCGTCACAGTTTTTCTTTCTACCATTGGTAATCTGCAA